TTTGGTCAGAGCGCACCCCATGAGAGGTCTGGGGAGTGGCGGTATCGGTGCCAATTGGCTTTTCCCCACACCCGGCTGTTTCGGGCCTGAAGGTTGCTCGGCGGTTGGGGGAAGAAAGGGCCCGCCCACGCGAAGCGCGCGCGTAAGAGAGAGCGAAACCCCTGACCCTTCGCCGCCAGTGCCAACGTGCGGTAGCAAGAGGGTGAAATGATGCAGAGGCCCGAGCACGATGTGAGGTTGCTATCCCAAGACTGGTCAGCCTGGGTGGGCCCCAGTGCTGCTGCGCACCAGGAATTCACTCAAGGTGAGGGGAGAGGAGGCGGGGCGGGTCAGGCGGAGGGTCGATGCGAAGGCGGAGGCGGCGGAATCGCAGGAAGGGAAGGAAGAGGAGATGAGGAGGACAAGGAGGAAGTAGCAGACCCCGAGGGAAGGCTAATGTCAGCTTGCGATTACCGAATGAATCCCGCCTGCGGCTGATGAAGAGACCCCGCGCGGCGCGACACTTTTTTTTCATAGCGCGCGCCAGGGGGTCGTCGCGGGCGCCGACGACGGGATCGTGTACACTCCTGCACGGCAGCCTCAAAACGATTGCCTTGTGTATGAAACTTGTGATAGGAATCGTATACATCCGAGGCAAAGTTTCTTTCCCTTCTCAGGCTGACTACTGACGTGCCACTGTCGTCGTCGTTGCCGTCGTCGTCGTCGCCGCCATCCCCGTTGTCGACTACAGCGGGTTTGGCCGCCATGGGGCATCCGCAGTGCGTCGTCGTCGCCGCCGTCGTCGTCGCGTTGTTGTCATCGTCGTCGTCGTTGTCGTGGTCGTCGTCGTGGTCGTCGTCGTCGTCTTCGTCGTCGTTGTCGTCGTCGTGGTCGTCCACTGCAGCCGCACCCCCCCTATAGGGGGGCATCCGCAGTGCGTTGTCGTCGTCGCAATCGTCGTCAGCCGTCTTCGTCCTCGCTTCTCCTCGTCGTCGCCGTCGTCGTTGTCGTTGTTGTCGTCGTCGTCGCCGCAGGGGCCGACGAAGCAGCAGGCCCCAAAAGCCCCCCAGGGCATCTTCAATGCGTCGTCGTCGCCGCCGTTGTCGACGAGTTATCGTTGCGGTCGTCGTCGTCGTCGTCGTCGTCGTCGTCGTCGTCGTCGTCGTCGTCTTCGTCGTCGTCGTCCGTCGCCCGTCGCCCGTCGTCCGTCGTCCGTCGTCCGTCGTCCGTCGTCCGTCGTCGTCGTCGTCGTCGTCGTCGTCGTCGCCGACTGCAGCGGGTCCGGCCTACGCAACCCCCCACACGGGGTGTCCGCAGTGCGTCGTTTTCGCCGCTCTCGTCGTCGCCTTGTTGACGTCGTCGTTTTCGTCGGCGTCGCCCTCGTCGTCGTCTTCGTCCTCGTCGTCGTCCTCGCCTTCGTCGTCGTCGTCGTCGCCGCCGTCGTCATTGTCGACTACAGCGGGCCCGGCCCCCGTGGGGCATCCGCGGTGCGTCGTCGTCGCCGCCGTCGTCGTCGCATTGTCGTCGTCGTCGTCGCCGCCGTCGTCTTCGTCGTCGTCGTCGTCTTCGTCGTCGTTGTCGTCTCGTTGTCGTCGTCGTCTTCTTCGCCGTTGTCGTCGTCGGCGTCGTCCAGACAGCACCCCCCCCATAGGGGGGCATCCGCAGTGCGATGTCGTCGCAGTCGTCGTCAGTCGTCGTCGGTCGTCCTCGCTTGTCCTTGTCGTCGTCGTCGTTTTCGTTGTCGCCGTCGCCCCGCCGTAGGGGCCGACGCAGCAACACCCCCCCAAAGCCTCCCCAGGGCATTTTCAATGCGTCGTCGTCGCCGCCGCTGTTGTCGAGTTGTTGTCGCGGTCGTCGTCGTCGTCGTCGTCGTCGTCGTGGTCGTCGTCGTCGTCGTCGGCGTCGTCGTCGTCGTCCGTCGTCCGTCGCCCGTCGCCCGTCGCCCGTTGTCCGTCGTCCGTCGTCCGTCGTCGTCGTCGTCGTCGTCGCCGACTACAGCGGGCCCGGCCTACGCACCCCCACCGCCCCACATGGGGGTTCCGCAGTGCGTCGTTTTCGCCGCTGTCGTCGTCGCGTTGTGGACGTCGTCGTCGTCGCCCTCGGCCTCGTTTTCGTCTTCGTCGTCGTCCTCGTCGTCGTCGTCGTCGTTGCCGTCGGCTGCAGTTAGGGCATCCTCAGTGCGTCGTTGTCGTAGTCGTCGTCGTCGTCATCGTCGTCGTGGTCGCCGCCGCCGTCGCCGTCGTCGTCCAGGACTACAGCGGGCATGCGCAGCACCCCCGCTCCGCCCCCAAGGAGCATCCGCGGTGCGTCGTCGCCCGCAGTCGCCATTGCCGTCGCCGTTGTCGTCGTCGTCGTTGTCGTTGTCGTCGTCGACGCAGGACGTGGCAGTGGATGGATGGAGGGAGAAGAGGAGAATGAGTTTTTTTTCCGCCTGGCCTTCCGCTCCTCACCTTCTCTTCCTTTTTCGGTTTGCAGTCATGTCGGCACCACCCGCCAGCCGAGGCGCCTCTTTCCCCCGCTTCGTTTTTCTCTCCTATCTGTAGCAATTTTGGCCTAATCGCACCGCTGTGTCGGAGGCGCTGCTGTCCCCACCTCCGCTGAAGCGGCGCCGCTTGCATCGCGCCTGTCGCCCTTTTGCAGTCGGCCGGGCGCTGGCGCCAATCACCGGAGCCGCCGCCGCGTGTTTCGATTTGGTGGGTACCTTTCCCACGATTCGCCCGAGCAAATGAACATGTTTCCCAACTCGCCTGCGGCTTGACTAGAGCACTGTGGTCGCGTCCTTTTCCTGCCCCCGTCCGTTTTCCTTCCCTCCTCCTCCCTTCGTTTCTTTCTTCCTTCTTCCTCTCCTCTTTTGCCTTTACCTCCCCCTCGCCACCGCTTATGGTCTGCGATCTGCCAAACCGTCGCCACTTTCGAGGGCTGCTGTGGGGGCCAGCGTTGTGGGTACCAGACGCAGATTCAGTTCAGACCTCGCCATCCCTGGGGGCTGCGATCTGCGAAGTTCCCCCTCCTTAATGGGGCAGAACCGTGGGTGCCAGGTGCAGATCCAGATTAGACCTCGCCACCCTTGGGGTGCTACAGGAAGGCTGTTGGGGGGAGCAGCGTTGTAGCTACCAGACGCAGATTCACACTAGACCTCGCCATCCCTGGGAGGCCGCGAATTGCGAAACGGTCGCCACTTCCAAAGGCTACTGGGGGGCTCGCATAGTGAGTACCAGACGCACACCCACATTAGACTTCGCCATCTCTGAGGTTATGCGATGTTGCGAGACGGCTCCCATTTCCGAGTGGCGCTGGGGTGGCCAGCGTCGTGGGTACCAGATGTAGATCCACACTAGACCTCGCCATCCTTGGGGGGTTGTGATTTATGAAACTGTCGCCAATCTCGAGGGTTGCTGGGGGGCCAGCATCGTGGTTACCAGGCGCAGATTCACATTAGACCTCGCCGTCCCTGGGGGGTTGCGTTCTGCGAAATTGCCACCACTTTCTAGGGATGCGTGGGGGGCATCACGGTGGGTAGTCGCCGCAGTTTGAGATTAGACCTCGCCATCCCTGGGGGGCTGCGATCTATAAAACCGCCGCCGCTTTCGAGGGTTGTTCGGGGGCCAACATAATGGGTTTTCAGACTCAGACTACACCTTTTCCATCCTTGGGGCGCAGCGATCTGCAAACTTGTCGCCATTTTCGAGGGTTGCTTTGGGGGGGCAGCATAGTGGGTATTCGCCGCAGGCTCATATTTGATTTCGCCATCCTAGAGGGCTGCGATTTGTCAGAGTGTCGCCGCGTTCATGGGCCGCTCGGGGGCAAGGATTGTAGGTACTCGCCGCAGATTCAGATTAGACGTCGCCACCCCAGAGGGCCGTTGGGGGGCCAGCATCGTGAATATTTGCCGCAGGTTCAGATCAGACCTCGCCATCCCGTTGGGGCTTTCGCCACATTCGAGGGTTGTTGGGGCAGCATATGGGGCATTCGCCGCAGATTCAGATAAGACGTCATCATCCCTGGGGGGCTGCGATATGTGACACTGTCGCCAATTTCGAGGGCTGCTGGGGGGCCAGCATCGTGGGTACTCGCCGCAGATCGAGGTTAAACTCCGCCATCCTTGGACGGCTGCGATCTGCGAAACCGTCGCCACATTCGAGGGTTGTTGGGGGAGCATTATGAGGGGACCTCGCCACCCCTGGGGGGCTGCGATCTATAGAACCGTCGCCACTTTCGAGGGCTGCCGGGGGGGCGCAGCATAGTGGGTATTCGCTGCAGATTCAAGATCGGCTCCGTCATTTCTGGAGGCTGCGATCTGCGAAGCCGTCGCCACTTTCGAGGGCTGCTGGGGGGGCCAGCATACGGGGCACTCGCCGCAGATTGAGATTAGACCGCTGGCCGTTTGCACCCCTGTCGCCTTCTCCAAACTGTTGCTGCAACGATGGCTCCCCGCCCCCACAATTCCGTCATTCTCCTGCCCGTCGTACCCGCCCCCCCTTCTTTCCAAGCCTAGGGCCCAAATGTTCGTCCCGTCGATCGCTGCCCTTTGAGTCGTGCAACGTGCGCGCATCCCATGTAACTTGCACTACAAATCGCCGCGCCTGCACTGTCGTTGTTCATGCCAAGATTGGTCTACGTCCCTGTCCATTCGACGCAAATGGGTTGGGTACGTCGCAGGGTAGTTCCATCACGCGCCCAAAATGTTCTTGTTAATTCCATGCTCGCAAATGATCGATGCATACTGACGTCAATACAGTATATTTTACCCAATCACAAGCTGCCACTAGGAGGGCAAACGAGGAGATTGAGGAGAAAGAAGGGTGAGGAGTAGTAGAGAGAGAAAGAGAGACAGAGAGAGAAACAGCGAGGACGATGTGAAGGAGGAGCAGGTACAGCAGAAGGAAACACGGGAAGACATGAAGAGGAGGAGGAGGAGGAGCAAGAGCAGGTGAAGGAGTAGGAGGACGAGGACAGCGTGGATCGCGAGGACGCGGAGGCGGAAGGGCCCCTTGGCTGCCCATCGCCCCTCGCCGCGCGAGGCGCGAGCTCCCTGCGGCGCCTGCTGCCGGCGATCACCGGTAAGGCCTGTCGCGACGCTTTTTTGTTGGCAGTCTTGTTGCCGACGCGCGGTCGGCGGCGGGGCCAGCGGCGGGTCGGACGAAGGCCGAAGGACAAGCAACGGCATACGCACACTTGATTTCTCGGGTCTCGGCGCGGATTTCTCGGATCGTCGTTTGTGGGTCCTTCTGCGGCGCCGACGGCGCTGTCCCTGGCGCGCTCCGCGCGCCAGGGGGGGCAGCACAAATCCAAGACACCGGCGCGGACCTCCAACAGTTTTTCTGTTGTTGCGTTTGTTGTTCCTCCGGAAGGGCGTGCAGGGGGCGATTCAGATGAGAGAGAGGTCATGATACGGATACGTTCGAAGATTTGCCCTAATTCCAGGATGTTTCAAATTGCCGAATGTTTTTCAAGATTTGGAAAACATGGAACGCATCTTGAGCCACCCATCATGACATCCTTATCGTCCTAGGCATGGGGGAAGCCGGCAATCCTTGAGATCCGGGCGATGCAACTCTTTCACACAGGGCGTTTTCGCGCAGTGTTGCGAGGCATGACGGAGAAATCGGGGCCGGCCAAGAGGGGAGTTCAAGAGGGGGGTGATGAGTAGGGGGGGTGGAAATTTTGGCCGTGACCATGATATTTGCTCAGATTTCATGGTTTCGCCGCGCACATGCTTCTTGCCATGATTTGCGACCCCCCCTCTTGGTCGCCCCACTCTTGGACGCCCCTGGAGAACGATGGGGTCGAGTCATGATTATTCGCGATGTTGCAATTTTGTTCACAATGTCGGGTCATCTCAGGGAAATCGGGGTACAACATTTGTTGCATGCAGCTGCTTGTTTCGACCCTTCCAACGAGCGCCTTCTTCCACACATTAGCGCCTCCCAGCGCCGGGAAAACCAGTTAGTACGCGAGTTGAGGGTCTACCCCCCATTACCATTACCACCTCCCTTACGTACGACTCGGATGTGGCGCGGGATGAAGCACGGAGCAATGTATGGGGCTTGTGCCCAAAGGCCCAGGTCCACAGAAAAGGAACGCGGTAAGACTCTGGAGATCAGACGGGGCTAGGAAATCCGTGCTAGAACGTTCCGGAATGCTCTCAGAGCGTTCCGGAACGCTCTGAGAAGATTGCGGCGCCCCATACATGTTCCAGAGCCGCCAGATCTCAGAGATTCTCGATCTATCTTCTCCCGAGTTTGGCTTCGTCCTGGATTCGATTGTAAAGAGAGAGAGGGGGGCATCAGCCAGCCACCACCGCGTGGCAGCGCGCACCGCGCGGCCTGCCCCTCGACGTAGCGGAGCGGCACGTGCGCACATGAGCGCGGTTGGCAGTGGGTGAAGCGACGACGACGACGACGAGCGACGAGCGACGACGACGACGGCGACGGCGACGGCGACGGCGACCGCATCCTCTCCAAAGCGTCTGGGCCTCCCAGATGGGGTCCCAGTAGGTGGGGTCGGAGGATCGCGCCGAATCGCCGATGCATCCGCGATGCGGCTCGATGCGGAATCCCATTTCCTCCACGCCGACGTCGCCGATGCATCGCCGACGTCGCGGGTGCATTGCCAATGCATCGGCGATGCGTTGTCGATACATCGGCGATGCGGCGCGATCTTCCGACCCCATCCACTCCGACCCCACCGAGGAGGCCTCTAAAGATGGAGGATGAAGCCCGAAGAAAAGAAGGCAAAACACCATGCATATTTTCGAAGATCGGTGGGGATTTCTTGGATCCCCAATGGATCCCTTCTGCGGCGACTCCGGCGTCGCCCCTGGCGCGCTCCGCGCGCCAGGAAGCGGGGTCGCGAACGTTCGGGAGTTATGTTTATGCGTTCGTTTCTTTTTCTAGAAGTGGGAGGAGGAGGAGGAGGAAGAGGAGGAGAAAGAGGAGGAGGAGGAGGAGGAGGAGGATGAGGAAGAGGAGGAGAGGAGGAGGAGGAGGAGGAGGAGGAGGGGGAGGGGGAGGAGGAGGAGGAGGAGGAGGAGGAGGAGGAGGAGGAGGAGGAGGAGGAGGAGAAGGAGGGGACGAGGAAGGAACATGGAAGAGGTGCAGAATCATCAGTACAAGGAGGAGGTGGGGGAGGAGGTGGAGGAGAAGGAAGAGGAGGAGGAGGCGGGCGGGGACTGGGGAGGAGCAGCAAGAAAAAGCATGGGGAGAGGAGGATCATCGTCATCGTCTTCCCCGTCGTTCTTCTCCTCCTCCTCCTCCCTGTTTCCGGTCCTTTTTTCTTGCTCGAACCTCCCAGCTCGCTCCTGCTCGCTCGTTCTGGATTGCTCCGCAGTTTCCCCTCCACCATCCTGCTCGTCCTCCCTTCTCCTCCTTCTCCTTCATATTCCTTCTCTTCCGCACCTCCTACTTTTCATCCACGCTGTGCCATTTGCGCGTTGAGGCGACAAGCTCATGGGATGCAGCTTGTACTATGGCACTTGAGCAGCCTTGCATTGCCATTGATTATTAAACCTTCGTCGCCACCGGCCCGTCGCAGTGGAAAACAAATCTCCTCTCGTCCCCGACCATCAGAAGCCATGCGCTTCGCGCATCACATCAGACATGCCAATACTTTGTCGACAAGCTCCAGGGGCATGCGCACCTTTCATCCAGCACATGCATGATATGTTAAAGGACTGGCCGAACCCGCGGCATAGACACATTGTTCATCTTAACGTGTATATAGTCGAGCATCTGATCAAGAAACCTCCTCCCGAACAGTGGACAAGCGTTTTTTGACCAGCTTGCTGGAAAGCTGGTCCAGTGTCCTAAGCACGTTCGTCCCCACCAGCCTGAACAAAACAGTTTGCCCAGGTTCGAGTTAAGAATTTCCTGGGAAAACTGGCCCAGCTTTCTCAAATGATGAGTTTCCTGACTACCTTTTCGGTTCTAGTTTCTGGACGCCAAAGTATAACAGGTTCGGTTGCTCGGGGGTGGGGGGCGCGGGCGGAGTGACCCAGTGTAGAGGCACTGGTGCACAGGACGTATGTTGTCCATCATGGGTGCGCATGGCTTGTGTATCGAACACGCCTGCGGCGAACCACCACCGCCCCATGTCCTTTGGAAACGTCCATGTGGCCAACCGTTGGACCAAAGTGTCAGCCCATCCAGAAACGATGCCCAGGCGAGTTGCCCTGCTCAGGCTTGCGGGCGCAGGAACTTACACTGCCGCCAGGGAGACCGCCTCGCTGAGTGATGCGTCTCGCGTCGAAGATGGCGAGTTCGCAATTTGAGGGCATGTTCGCACCTGTCTGCAGAGGCCCCCAGGGCGTCTCCAGGAGACTTCCTCCTCCTCCTCGACCTCGTGCTCCGTCTTCTCCTCCCTCTGTCCCTCTGTCCCTCCTCTCCCCCCTCCCCTCCTTAAGTGTTTCCCCGAGGGTATCCACAACGGCTGGGAGGAGCACATCGTCCAATCCCAACAGCCCTCTTGGCGTGAGAGGTTTAGCGAGCTTCCTCTTCCACCCCCCTTTTTTCCCCTTCGGGGAGGGGCTTACCCCTCCCCCGAACCCCTCCCCTTGGACCTGGACGGGTGGGTCGCGACCGATTGGAACATACAGTTGGTTTCGGCGAGAAGGCGCAAACCATTGAATTTACCCAAAAAGGTTTGGGGCACAGTTCGGCCTCCTGGGGAAACTTTAATTCACCCTCCCATTATTTGATCGATCTCCTCCCAGGTGGTTCCCGAGGGTCCAAAGTGCCCCGAGAGGCGCCCATGAGGCCCCAGGATGCTGTCAAGAGGTCCCGAAGAGGCCCCTACGTCCTGTTGGCTATGTTTAGCGTGCGCTTCAAAAGTCGAAGGGCTTCGCGCGTCCCATCAGCCCTCCAGAACCCAGCAACGCAGCGTTATGGTATTTTCGAAGCTTGTTCGTCGGGTTCATGGAGTGCGGGGCATCATTCCTAGCACCTTGTGTCTTAGGACTTTAGGGTCTTAGGGTCTAGGATTCCAGGGCATGAGGATCCAGGGTCTTAGGGTCATTGGGTCTTTGCGCCTTTGGGTGTTAGGGTCGTAGGGTAATACTTAACGCGCGACAGCGCTTGGGAATCTGGGGGTCTGGGCTCCCCGGAGAGCACTCACCAGATTCAGTACAGAAACCGGAGAGGACCTGACGGCATGCCACGTGGTACTTGCCCATGACGTGTCGGCAGAATAGATAAGTTGCCCTACTTGTCCTCTCCCCTTCATCTTCCCCCCCCCTCCTCGTAGCCCTGCTGGTCGTCCTCCCCCCCACCACCACCCCTTCCTTTTCTCCCCGTTTCCCCCCCCCCCCCCCCTCCCCTGTCCTCCTTTTCGCCGTGCTCCGCCCTGCCTTCGCCATCCTGCTCCCGCCTGCTCGTCGCCCCCATCCTCATCATCCCCCGCAGCCTTCGCCCCCCCCCCCCGCCCTCGCCAGGCCCGTCCTCTTCAGTTCCCCCGGCACAGGCGAACGAAGCGCCGTTGCATCCATCGACGCGAGGGCAAGCAAACAGACGCAGAGCGCTCTCCGCAGCGCAGCAGTACGTACCCCCTGCCGAGCAAGGACAGTGCACCTCCCTCTCCGCCCTCTGCCAGGACGCGCCCGACCAGGAGGCTCCCGCATGGAAGGGCGTGATCCCGCCGTCTGGGGCCCCGTTGGAGTCGAAGGCCGCACAAGGCAGCCGCCCCGCCAGAGGAGGAGGAGGAGGAGGAGGAGGAGGAGGAGGAGGAGGAGGACGGAGGTAATGCGAAGGGGAAGGGGGGGGGGGCGAGCCAGGGAGAGCAGGGAGTGGGAGAGGAGAAGGAGTGACGGAAGTGCTCTTCGGCCTTGGCTTGGTGGCGCCGCCCCGGGACCGTCCACCGACACCTCGGGAGAGCAGGCCGGCCCCGGGGGAGAGGCCGAGATCCCCGGGGGGCCCACGTCGGGAAAGAGATGTGCCGTCGGAGGAGGCGGAAGGAACGCCGGGGCCTGGCCTGGCCACGGCGAGCCTCGGCCACGAGCCAGTTCCCCAGCCCAGATCCGACGAGCGCACCCGAAACCATGGCTCCTCCGGAGCCCGAAGGTGGTCCTTTTGTCCAGCGTCTTGGCCGCATCTCCGCCAGTCGGGTGCGAGTCGGCTTCCGGAGAGAGGTGCCGCCCTGCGAGCGGAGGAGCACGAGTGGACGAACGCAAAGAGAAGTGAGAGCTGCCGCGTAAGCTTCGTGCGCGGTCGCTCGCGAGCAGATTGGCGCAAATCACATCTGATCGCCGCTGACGGCTGCACCGCCGAAGGCGCAGCTGCCGCGAGTTTTGCCTCGTCGCCCAGACCTGCGGGTCCCTCAGCTTTCCGTATGGCAGCACGGTGATCCTCACCACCAACCAAGCCACCCCAACCCAATCAGAAGGTCCTAACTTGCCCTCCATTTCCAGTGGGGGGGGCGTCGGCGAATAGCCCCAACTCCCGGATAATAAAGCGTCCCCCCTTAACCTTTTTATCTCTTTCTCCACCGGATTGAATGTGGTTCAGATGCCACAGCAGGTGGAGAGACCGATTTTTTATCCCCTTTACAGTTCCTAGCGTATCTCTGATCTTCATCTCATCAATGTGTCCGACATTGATATCTCATCATCGCGTAGTTGGTAAGTAACATCGCGATATCCGGTGAAACATATTATTTCGCCTGGACCGCGAACTTGCTTATCCCCAGGGCGTTATTCTCACCGGTATGGGGTTATTGAAAGAACACATGTGAAACCCGTACCCCACAAACCAAAGTTTGGGTCTTCGGGTTTGGTTGGGGTGGTCAAGTAGGTAGTCAGATTCCTGGGGAACGCTAGCCTTGAATCGGGCATGTCCCTCTACAGGAGGAGTATTCAAAAATGGCCAAAAAATAGTCGGGGGACGATGCTTTGAGTATGGGGCACTTTCAGAGAACATTTTCATAATTTGCACCCACATCCTACGTGGGGTTCTTGTTTTCTCTGGACACCCCGCGCAGTCCTGTCACCTCACCCCCTCTCCTCTTCTGCCTTCGCACGTTCAATCGCTCAATCACTCACGCACCATCATCATCATCATGACACCTGAAGCTACTTCTCCCTTAGCACACTCACCCAATGATTTGCACCATCATCATCAGTCACACACCCACCACACACGATCACTCCATTACGCAATCACTCACTCACACTCAATCATTCACCCCATCATCATCAGTAACACACACATCACACACGATCGCACTATCACGCACTCAATCACTCACACACCATCATCACCACTGGCCGCATCATCATTTCAATCATCGTCATCATCACTCACATCAGAATCACCATCATCATCATCATCATCATCATCAGCAGCAGCATCATCATCATCATCATCATCATAATCATCATCATCATTCGTCTGTCGTCTCGGGCGGACCTTCGTCAGTGAGTGAACTGCGAGGAAGTCTCAGGCGGGAGCCCCCTCCCTACGGGGCCCGCACTTCATGCTCGAATCCGAGTCGGGCCATCTGCCTCCTGTAACTGTCGTCACTTTGGGGCTCCTGAGGCCTGAATATGGAGGAAGTATAAGGCGGGAGCCTCGTCCGTGAATAAATTGCGAGGAAGCCTCAGGCGAGAGCCCCCTCCCTAGGGGGCCCGCACCTCACGTGCTTTCTCTGGGTCGTCCTCCGGCGCGCGCTTTCTCTGGGTCGTCTTCCGGCGCGCAGCCGCTGGGACGCAAATCGTGCGTTTTCTCTAGGTCGTGTTCCGCACGAGAAGCGGAGGAGGAAGAGGAGGAGGATGCAGGACGAGAAAGAGAAGGAGGAAGAAGAGGAGGCAGAGTGGAAACAGGACGATGAGGAGGAGGAGGAGGAGGAGGAGGAGGAGGAGGAGGAGGAATGCCCTGGGAGGCCCCAGGAGGTCCCGGGAGGCCCAGGAGGCTCCAGGAGGCCCCAAGAGGCCCAGGAGGCCCCAGGAGGAGGCAGGAGGCCTCAGGAGGAGGCTGTCTCACGCTGCCGCTCTCTCCAAGACGAGGACCCAACACCACAGGATGGTTGGGAAACAAACATGAGAAAAAGAGGGAGAACAAGAAGCGAACGCCCGCTGGCCCCGCTGTGGGGGGCATCGGCCGCGGGGGCGTGGAGAATTGGGAAAGGGAGATGGAGTGCCCTCTGGCCCGCTGGCCCCGCCAGTGTGCCTCGGCTGCTCCCCGGCCTCGGCCGCCCCGCCGCGGGCTCCCTGTCGAGAAAGAGAGAGAGGGAGAGAGCGAGCGAGACAGGGGCAGAGAGAGCGCGGAGACGGGGAGAGGAGGCAGGGAGGCGGGGGGACAGGGACAGGGCCAGAGAGGGAGAGAGAGTGAGAGGCAGAGGCAGAAGGACAGAAGGAGAGGCAGCGGGAGACAGACAGACAGAGAAAGAGGGGGAAACAGAGAGAGAGAGAGAGACACACACACACACACAGAGGGACGGGAGGTAAACAGAGAAAGAGAGAGAGAGGGAGATTCAACAAAAACGTTGCCTGCCCGCGAGGCTGCGCGTCGCCGCTGCCCAGCTCGGTCCGCCAAGGGGCATGAGGGGGGTCGTCCTCGCATTCCCGCATTTGTCCTATTCGCCGTCCTCTCGCTCCTTTCCGCGTCGTCCAACTCGTCTCACTTCGCATCCTTTTCCCCGTGCCGATACTGCTGCCCTTGCCTCGCTTTCAACCGTTTGGGGCTCCTGGGAGGGCCTCGCCGCCACGTGGATACGCATCGACATCCTGGTCAGAACCCACCCTCAGAGAGGTCTGGGGAGTAGCGGTATAGGTATCATTTGGTTTCCCAGCCCTCACATCCCACCTTCCTGTTCCTCCTTCCCCAGTCTTCCTGACGACAGCAGGAAAGTGAGTGTCACGTGCGCCCACTCCTGCCCGCGCAGGCGCGCCGAAGTTTCGCTGGCGTGGCCAATCAGCTCCAGGAGAATACTTCTTGAGGTTGCTGATGTGAACTTCGGGGCCCTCTCTGCTTCTCTCTCTCTCTCTCTCTGTTTCGTCCGCCTTTCCGTCCTGCCTCTCCGTCCCTCTCCTCGTCCTCGTCCTCGCTTCCTGCCCTCTGGCCGCCCACTATGTAATTCCCCCCTCGACCCCCCCCCATCTCCCCTTCCTCCCCCCATCCTACATCGTCGTCGACGACGACGGCGACGACGAGCCTCACAGCGACGACGAAGACCGTGACGACGATGACGACGACCCCGACGACAGCGACGCCTTCCTCGACCTCGCCGTCAACGACGACGTCGAAGACGACGACCCTCAACGCGGCGACGTCGGGGGGGCGGAGGTCTCGGGCGGCGCCGCCGCGCCCGCGCCCCTGGCAGCGCCGGCGACGCCCGCGCCCGCGTCGCGGGGGTCGGCCCCGCCCCGCGCGGGGAGGCCGCTGGGCGACACCGCCGCCGCCGCCGTCGTCGGAGCCGTCTCGGCGCGCCGCGGGATGGGTCGCTCCGTGGGCTTGGCATCGCTCGGGCGTGTGCATTTGTTTTTCGGCAAGCACCATCGATCAGAGCCCCGAATCATCAGGGATAATTCGGGTCAGGGCTAACTCGGGTTCGTTTTTCGGGATTCCGAACCCGAGTTATCCCGGACCCGAGTTACCCCGGATATTTCGGGCGTCCAGAGCCCCGAATCATCAGGGGTAACTCGGGTCAGGGCTAACTCGGGTTCGTTTTTCGGGAACCCAAACCCGAGTTACCCTGGACCCGAGTTACCCCGGATAACTCGGGCGTCCAAATCGAGGAGCACTTGTGAGGTTACCGTGCGAACAAATGCACGCACGGCGCGAAACAGTGCACGGGGACAGGACGTCCGAGCGATGGCGAGCCAGGGAGGCGGGCCATCCGCCTCCCGCTCGCGACGGCGCAGGAGTGGAGGGAAGGAAGCGGCGCAGACGTGGGGGCCGTCTGTCGGATGGTTTGTTCCCAACCATCCTGTGGTGTGGGGTCCTCGTTTTGAGGAGAGGGTCCCCGCGTTCCTCCCCCCTCCTCCTCCTCCCCCCTCCTCGTCCCTCCCTGCGTTTCACCCACCCAGTACAGCGCTTCGTGGCCCCATAGGGAGCTCCACCGAAGCCCCCAGTGCCACCGTCCGCATGCATCCCGAAACACTGAGTTTGGCTTTTTCACGCACCCAGCACAGCGCTCCGTGGCCCCATTGGGAGCTCCACCGAAGCCCCCAGTGCCACCGTCCGCATGCGTCCCGAAACACCCAATTTGGCATTTTCACCCACCCAGCACAGCACGCCGTGGCCCCATGGGGAGCTCCACCGAAGCCCCCAGTGCCACCGTCCGCGTGCGTCACACACACACACACACACACACACACTTACTTTGGCATTTTCACCCACCCAGCACAGCGTTTCGTGACCCCATAGGGAGCTCCACCGAAGCCCCCAGTGCCACCGTCCGCATGCGTCCCGAAACACCCAATTTGACATTTTCACCCACCCAGTACAGCGCTGCGTGGCCCCATGGGGAGCTCCACCGAAGCCCCCAGTGCCACCGTCCGCGTGCGTCACACAAACACACACACCCAATTTGGCATTATCACGCACCCAGTACAGCGTTTCGCTGCGGCAAGTGGGTGCGTAGAGGAGGGGGGAATGATGATGAGGATGAGGATGAGGATGAGGATGACGATGACGATGACGATGACGATGACGATGACGATGACGATGACGATGACGATGACGACGACGACGACGACGACGACGATGACGATGATGATGATGATGATGATGATGATGATGATGATGATGATGACGATGACGATGACGATGACGATAACGATGACAATGACGATGCTGATGATGATGGTGCTGATGATGATGATGATGATGCTGGTGATCATGATGCTGATGATGCTGATATGATGCTGATGATGATGATGGTGATGTTGCTGCTGATGATGATGAGGAGGAGGAAGAGGCAGGATGGGTGTGTGTGTGTGCGTTGGAGACGGAGGCGATGGAGCACTCTGTGTTGCGTTGGAGACAGAGGCTGCGGAGTACTCGGTGTGCGTCGGAGACGGAGGGTGTGAAGTAGAGGGTGTTGTTTTAGTGGGGCGTGGGCGTTGGAAAGGCAGGTGGGGCGGGCGGCGGCGGGCGGCGGGCGGGTTCGGGTCTTCAACGCAACCATTCAGGACACTGTCTTGGAGAGAAAGAGGCTGTGAAGTAGTGGGCTGTGTTGGAGACCGACGCGCCCCTGCGGGGGGGCGCCGTCCGTGGACAGCACCTTCGGCTCCACGGACTTCGGACGCATTTTGCGTGACCGGCGCGGGGACAGCACCCCGGGGCCGCAGGCCCAAATTGTATGGGCTTGCATGACATGAATTCCGCAGCGCCGCTACCGCGGCAAGCAAGCCCCATAGGGAGCTCCACCGAACACCGAAGCCCCCAGTCGGACCGCCCGCCTTCGTCCCACACGCCCAATTTGGCCCCAGTACAGCCGTTCGTGGCCCCACACGGGGCTCCACCGACGGCCCCAGTGCTACCGCCCACATGCCTTCCCCCCATGCAGTGCAGCGCTTCGTGGCCCCATGGGGAGCTTCACCGAAGAAGATATTCACAATTGCGGTACCCACATCTACACATGGTTGGGTCCTTCGCCAGGATAATGATTCATTGTTTTGCCGATCGGCACGGGCCCCAAACCCCCCCCTCCCCCACCATGGAGTAGATCTTGGCTGTTTTTTGGCGCCTATTCCAGGCAGGTGGAGGCTCCCCCAGAGGCCGCACTATTGCAAACAGTCGCATTAAGCAGAGGTCCACAGCCAGACCCCCCCTCCCCCCCCTTCCGCCCAATGTCGAAAGGCCGAATAAGAAAACGCTCACAAGTGAGAGGGCGAGGGCCTTCTCAGAAGGCGGCGGGAATTCTCAGAAGCCCTCGCGCCTTCTGGGAGGTTTGTCGTGTATTCGGGGCACGCTTAGAACACTTCTCAGAAGGCTCGGGACTTCCGAGCCTTCTGAGAAGGCCCGCCCCTTCTCAGTTCCCCCCCGGGCTCGCCGCCGGCTCTGGCCAGCGAAAAGGGCGGGCGTTCGGGCAGATCGTTTTTGCCACGTGTTTGGCTCCTGGGGCCGTGGCCAGGTCTCGGAACCTTGAAAACGACAGGCCTGGGCGACAGATTGCACCAGATGGACCCTGGCAGGGGTCCGGGGACGGATTCTGAGCGGATTTGGCTTCCCCCCCCTGATCCGTTTCTTGGGGCCCCAAATCCAACCAGTTGAGGCCCCCTGGCCGCCTCCAACTTTCGGCTTCAGGCGTCGGCGTCTGCAAGACTTCGTCGGCTACGGCGCGCAGCTCTTGGCGTGAACCCCGGCAGTGGTTAGGGCACCATCATGCCGCAGCGCTGGACTTCCAAGTGGTCTCAACGACCGTATTAATCGCGAGACTTGGATGTTACATTATGAGGAGGACTTTCCCCGCATCATGTTACTTGGCCCGGTGGCGACTACCTTGATACAATAGGACAGATTGTGTGTCGAACAGCCGAGCCAAGATTGGGTCAGTACCGCACCGTTGTGGAATATTACAACACCCACAGGTTGATGCGGCGGCGTTCGACCCGTGTCGGTTGGGTGCCAATCGCCCACGACGTTTCCCATCCAAGGTGCCCTCCGGCCGTCGCCAATACACCACATAATCATGTTCACACCAGTGTCACGCTCAGGACCTCGGTGGGCAGATCGGCCACTTTCTTAGTCGAATCTTTCCCAGTCGCAGGTTCACGAGTCGGCGGCCCCCTGCTCTCATCTTAGGAGGTGGGCGACTGGTCCTTGCGGAGAGGTCTTTGATGGGAGCGCGGGGCTCCGAACAAAATTGTTGTCGCTTCGCGAATCCCCACCAGCCCATCCAGAAACGATGCCCAGAGGAATTGCCTCGATCAGAGAAGTGGGCAGCACACAGAGGAAGCCATTATGAGACATCTTGGGATATCTTGAGCCATCTTGGAGGTCATTTTGGGCTCTCCCAGACGCTCTTGGAGTCATCTTAATCCGTGCCCCCCCCCAAGAGGCCTCCATGTGGCTAAAACCTGTGTAGAATCAATGATTAGGCATTCTCGCCGAGGCCTCTTGGAGCATCTTGGGTGCATCTGGGGGGGCTCTTGGGGCCTCTTGGGGGTCTCTTGGGGGCCTCCGGGGGGCCTCTTGGGGGCCTCTTG